TTTCATCTTGCATGCACGAGCGGAATTAAAAATCCTGCATTTATTACGGTACTGCAATTTTGCCTCAGCTGGCTTGAATTAACGTGGAAATATGAGTATTTTTTAATTTAAAACTATAATTTTTTTCAAACCTTTTGTTAGTTTTTACACTTACAGAAAATACACTGTCTGGCTTTAATTTTATTTAAACACGTTATTATTAAAACATAATACAATTAGATTCCTCTATACCTATTAAATTAGAATTTAAATAATAATTCATCTTTTGTATTAGTAACAATATATCTGTAATGAAAGGTACACCCCATACGCACGCATATTTATAAGAAACAATTAATATCATGTAGATATTGTGTACGAGTTCGAAATATAAATAAAATGTTATTACTACATGGTGTAAATTGCAAAGTAGAATAATTATGAAATAGTTCAGAAATATCAAAATCTAAAATTAAAAAACCAAATAGAAATGAATACATTTTTTTTAATAATTCATATAAATAAAAAAAAATCAACTGAAAAAATGAAATAAATTTTAATTTCTATATTTTTTAAACATGGAATTTTTAATTAAAATTTTAATAAATACTCAGCATTGAAAAGCCTCTCTGTCCACTAATAACTAGCATTCTGCATTAGATTTTGATTCACCTGTATAAACTTTGGGTTGGAGGCACCGTGTGTCGTTTCGCAACACACGCGGCCATTAAAAAGCGCTCGGTGCACTCAAAGGCGCGCAGCCAAACAATGAAAAGGAAACACCTCGGGAGTACTTAGCGCGCAAAGGACGTATGGAAAAATGTATTTTCCGGCCGGCGGCAGGCAGTCGAGCCGAGTTGGCCAGTCTCCAGCGCAATTTCGTTTTTATTCGCGCGGAACTGGAGAGAGTGCGAACGCGTTGCGAGAGGGTAGCAAAATAATATGCTGCGCTGCACAAAATGTTTCGCTAAATAGCGCGCGGCCCCCATTTCCCCACTGGCGCCTTTTAAACGCCGGCATTTACACACGCACCAAAGACGACGACGAGTGTTTTCTTGCTCCACTTTTTATGGCCGTCCCAGTTTAGTATCTTAAGAGACACATGCGTCAAGACTTGAGAGCGCCAGCAAAAAAAAATGGATTTTTTATTGCAAATCACAAGAATTTGAATCAAATTTAAGAAGAAATTTACGTTTAAAAAATGAAGAAAAACTTGTAGTTTAATTAGTGAATAAACATGCTTATTATGTTGGTTCTGTAATTGTATTTGTATCATTATTTGGAGAGAAACTTATTCTGTTGAGAGATGCAAAAAAACTCATGCCATTCCTCAATTTAAATCTGATTAAAATTGCATTTTTACTGGAATTATTTTCTTTGTACGTTGCTTAATTTCAATCCAAAATGTTTCAATTTGTTTCAAAGAAAGGGAATGGTTGGGAAAAAAGGAACTATAATACTACTAGAAAGACAATCATTACCGAAAAAAGAGCGACTTTTCAACGAAAGCTTTTTTTATAACAAAAAAGTCCGAGTTTTCATAGCATGTTATCACGTCTTCTTTTTAGCTTGATGATAATTTGTTTGATTCGTTTTTTGCTAATTAATTTGAGAATGGAAATGCAATTGTTTTTTTTAATTTTATTATTTAAAAATCAGTAATTCTAAATTATGTAACGCTATGAAAAAATCAAGATATTGATTTAAAAAATCTTTGCATTAAATTCCGATTTCATTTGAAGTTTGCCTCTGATCAACAATTTGGCCTCTCATGTTTCGCCTCTTGAAGCAGCGGAAAGGCAGCCCGAGGTGTTTATTTATTTGGAGAGTCGTTTCACGAGAGTACGACGGGTGTGTCAGACGCAATGAGTGTCGGCGCCGAATTTCCGCTGATTGCGAAAAGGTGAAGGCAGCGCGCAGTGGTGCTGACGCGGCCGCTTTTCCGCAAGCGGCGCACCCAGGCCAGGATGAAATATCCTTTTCTAACTGACGCAGCGGCCTCGCCGAAGACGTGATAACGCCCTGTGCCGTCGCCGTCGGTGCTGACAGAAAGTTAGTTGCCCGTTTGGCCTCTCGGGCTGTCTTCCCAACTTAAACGCCGTCGGCGAGAATTGAGTTATGTGTTTCCACTTTAAGTGTTGAGACGACAGAAGTTTGGACCGAATTCGCACTCTGGCCCGTTTTGTCAATTATGAGCAGAAATGGATTGCAGAACTAATAATTGACATTTAATTAGAGTTAAATTTATATAAAGTCTTTTAAAACTGTGATATATATTAGATATTTTTTTGGTTTAATATTTAATAAATTTTATAATAATTTTTCTATTCCAGGTTTATTGTTTATTTATGTTTTACTGTTTAAATATATCTTTTATTTTTTATATTTTTTTAAAAAGTTACAAGAAAATATGTATATTTAAACAAAACATTAGACATAAGCTTTTACTGATTTCAAACATTGAACTTTTAACTGTTGATTGACTTCCATGAATAATTGAAATACGAGACTTAATTTCCAAATTTCATTCAGATTAATATTTAAATTCAGTCTTAGGAAGGCTGAAGACAAAACTGTGGTTAAAAAATAATATTAATAATAATAAAACTTAAGCGCAGATAAAGAGGATTTTTGTTTATTCACTATACTTCGCTAAGTAAATCGCAGTTTTGTTTGATGAACTTATTTGAAACTAATTATAAATCCATTATTATTATTATAATTTATTATTTAGAATATCAGTACACTTTTTAAATTTTCTGCGCCTTTGAGATTGGTTTTTTTTTCTCCGAAGCTTAAAGATAAATATTTTATGCATGTACGAAAAAGAAGAAGTGTCCCAAAAGCGCCACTTCCCAAATCAAGTCATGAGTCGCTGCGGCCGTAAAATAAACTCTCGTGTGTCGCACTATCATACTTTCAAATGAGCAGAGGCGAGTGGAAGCGCCGCCGCCGGGCCGTATTAAGACCGAAATTTATGCCGTCGACGGAGACGGACAATTCCACAACACGGCCGTTAAACGGGCGGCTCTCGGCAAATGGCCCAAATTGCAACTCTTCTTTTTTTATTGCGCAGCCCCCAGTAAGTAACAATAAAACTTTTGACAAGCCGGCCCGTGCTAATTAGGCCGTAACCCAAAGTTAAAATCTCCTCTGCCGCCGCCATAATGGGGTGTTTTTCCTCTCTCACTCGGCACGCATACATTTAACCACCATATCTCGCCGCTAATGTTTAGATAGGGTGCACGAACACTGAATAAATTAAGCTCGATATATGTATTTGCCTCTCTGCAAACTCCGCTCGAGTGTTTTCTGATTCAAACACACGGAATTCTGATGGCCCGGAAAAACACACGCTCCAGTCTGTAAATTTGTATAAATCTCGCCGTCGTTGATGCGATTTTAACTCTCCATATTCTTTGCTTTATATTGTGAGATACCCCGAGAGCCAAACTTAAATTAGGCCTCGCGCAAATCCCCCTTCCTCTTTTATCTCTCGGCCGAGCTTCGACGCACCAACGCTTATTCACATGCAAATGCAGATAAGAAAATTGCTTTACCCGGGGCGAGACTTAATTTCTTGGTGCCAGCCAGAACTTCTTTCCAATTCTCATAATCTAAAATTTCTACAGAGATGTATGATATGACAGTTTGAAATTCAAAATATTTTTTTTGGAAACTTAAAACCTCAATTAGATGAACGATTTATTTTATCGATATTATTTTAAGACAAACTAATTTTAAATCTAAAAAAAATAATTGGAATTTGAACATGAAAAAGGTTTGATGTCGTATATTTTTTCCAGATACATAGAATTTTGCAAAATCTTTTGTGCCTTTCGTTTCTTTTATATCAAAAAGAAGAACGTCTATTTATTTAGAAATAAATCGTAGGTGAATTTATGTTAAGGGAAAATCATTTTCAAACAAAGGTCACATAAAATATAAGGGAAAAATATTGCAGCACTTTAAATTGAATGCAAATAGTTTATTAAAAAAATTACTTGCTTGAAGTTTAAATAAAAATTTACTCATATTAATTTTTTCAAACAGTAAGAATAGCGAATAAAAAAATTTGTAAATTTGGTAGAAAAGTCGATTGACTCAAATATAATCTAAAAATTGAAAATGAATCATAAAATTATGATCCATTTTGGTGAAAAGTTTAATCTCACTGACTGAATTTTCAAGCAATAAAAAAAAATTTCGTCACCAACCTGAGTGAGAGGTTGTTGAGGCTTTTAACTATTTAAGCTCATTGGTGGTTGGTTTGTTCTTGATATTGTTATAATATATAGCGAAAATAGAGCAGTGAATTATGCACGAAACATGAATTTGTCAAATTTTGAATGTAACTTAACATAGTTCATAGAATCGGAGATATTATATGTATAAATTGTTTTTACTTTTGAACGCACTATTTAACTGCTGTAATATTTTAATATATTTTTTAAATCTACATAAAATACAATTAAAATAAAGCATTAATATTTAAATAATTGATGAAAATAAGATGTAAAAATATATTAATATTATTTTAATTTTTTCAAAAATTTGATTTATTAAAGTTGAATAAAGTAAAACTAATTTGCTTTATAACAAAAATTGTGAATTGTGAGTGATCTTTTTATACTAATTCTGAAAATTTTTATAGCTGGCAATCTTCTTTTAATTTATTCTATAAATTAATGTAGGATTAAAATATTGAAATAACTTTTATTTAAAAAACCTATCTAGCACGATAAAAAATTATCAAATTAAAGTTTGATCTCAATTTGGATCGGAAAATAACCATTGTCTGCGAATGGTGGTGCGCGCGCGACCGCAATCAAATGCTAAAATTTACGGGGCCGATTTGCAGTCGCGGCCAGCAATCAGCAGCCAGACGCGCAAAACACAATAAATTTTGTGCACAACTGCGAATATATGTGTATAAAATGGGTTTTATTGCCAAACCGCACACTAGCTGCGGCCGTCGGTCGAGTGACCCGCATAAATCGAATTGCCTCGGACTGACTCACCTTTCATCCAACGGTGTGTGGCCGGCGGGTTCGAGTCGACGTCGCACTTGAGGGACACGGCCATGCCCTCGTACAGCGGGAAGCCAAAGCCCGGCCACCGGCTCATCACGAACGACGGGCTGTCTGCAACGTGAATATTTCAAAGCGTTAGTACTTTTTTCTCTACGAAAATAAAAATATAAGAGGTGAAGAAAAAGCAGCAGGTGAGAGAGGATTTGCGGCGGGCTTATTTTTAGGAAAGCAGTTTGCGAAGATTTTGCGAGGATCGGTGCCTCCAGGGAGTGAATGTTTACGAAATAAGTTAGGCTGCTAAGAAAAAAGGAAAATACAAAATGGGAGGAAAGTAAAAATAGAACATATTTTCTTCATTGCTCTTTTGATGGGTAGAAAACAATTTAATTGTTCAAGAAAAAAATTCAAATTGTAAATATTTGTATGAGGAATAAAGCATTACAATTTTAAAACATTTATTTACGATTTGGATAAAATGTATAAAAAACAATTTTTTTTAGAAAGGCAAAGTTTTCAAATTATTTATAAAATATTATTTATTTCATAACAGAAAAAAAATTCATTAGAAGTAATCAAAATAATCTGGAATTGAAATAATTTTGTAGATCATATGAATGAATTTGAAACAATTTTTATTTTTATTATTCACTCTTTTCGGTGAAGAAAGTAAAAATACTCAAAAAAAATCTGTGATTAATTATTTTTATTGTTCTGTTTCAGTTCTATTTAAAAGTTTTTTTTTTAATTCAAGTACTTCACAAACTAAAATTTTTGCTAAGGTTAATTATTTGTTTGAAGAAATTAACACTCGATGAGATGATCATGGAAGTGAAGAACTTTGGCTTTTTACACGTTGCGAATTGTTTTTATTCAAAAACAGTTTAATTTAATTTAAATGGCTCAAGAGCCATTTGTTTTTAAATAAAAACAATTTTCGCAACGAGGAAAAGCCCAACCTCTTCATTTCCAGGCTAATCAGTAATCATTAATATTATTATTTTATTCTTCAAACTCTAGAAATTATGTCAACTGGAGATTTTGATTTTCTCCCTCCATTTTTATATTTTCCGTAATTTGACTAAAGCTCTAATCAAGCAACTCACACTTTTATTTTTCGCACGGCCCAAACCCCCTTTGATTTTGATTACACCCGAGGGTTGCTTTTCTCGAAGGCGTATATAGTGTTGCCTCTTTTTCGTTAAGAAGCTCATTTCGCTGATGAGCTCTCCTTCGTTGCCTGCTTCTCGCTCTTTCAGGCAAAAATCCCAACAATGAATTCACGCGTCGAGCTTATGCAAACAAATTTCGGAGCGAATAAAGATGAGAAAGGAAAGAAGTTTTCCATTAAAGTAAGAAAGAAAAAGAAAAGCTCTCACGCGGCGGCGCCTAATTCCATGAAAAAATAATATCATCATCCTCTTAAATATTAAATTAGATTTAAAAGCGCAGCCCCTTTTTCGCCGCCAATCTCAGTCTCGCAATTTGATGAAATATTCAGCCGAGTTGGTTCCCGTCTCTGCAATTTATTAAGGAATTACGCCCGAGCGAAATGCGGTTTCGCTTTACGAGCAGCGAAATAAAAAATAAAAAAAAAGCTCGCGGGAAAAGGAAATATTTATCTACTGAGCCTCTTTTGTTTACTCCCCGTCGTGTCGCCAGAAGCATTTCGCAAAACTGGACCACTTTTGTTCCTCGTCCGAATCAATTCCCGCCGCCAGAAAAGTGTTTACGACAATAACCGGTTCTCTTTTATTCTTTTGCTAAATACACTTCTTATTTTTCCACCCCACGAAGGAAGATCTAGAATTGTACAACTTTTTTTCTCTTTCTCTGCAACTTTTTTGCCCGCGCTCGCAAGAAAAGCTGGTGCTGCTTTTGCCAGTCTCTCTTTTATTCTCCAGCGACTCCCATTTCCTCTTGGCTGCTCCCGAGACCCGTGCTTTTCACCGCGATATTCTTCTCTTGGCCGGTGCCAGTGACACCGGAAATGAAGGCAGGGATTGTGAAAGAGACCGAAAGAGCAGACGTCGCCGTGCAGGACGCGGCTCTGCGCTGGCCAATTGTTGAAATTTGAGGTAATGCAGCGGAAAAAAGGTCAGCAATTCTTATATCAAGAGCCACGTGGACTAGAGTTGAAGATTCAAACGGAAAATGAAGCATTAAAATTTTTTTAATTCATGGATATCATTAATTTTTTTAATTAAAATGAAGATATATGTGTCAATAAAAAAATAATTAACAATTTCTTGTTCAATGTAATATTAAAGACAATCACTTGGAGTAGATAAACATTAGTTTTGAATCTACACTTAAAAAATAGAAGGACAAGTAGATTGCTCAAATTTTACTCGATAATTGGATAAAACAAATTTAACTAATTTTCTTACGCATTTCACATCATGAAAAATAACAAATATATTATGCAAAGTCTTAAACTTTCATGAATAAATTTGAACTTTAAACTTTTAGAAAAAAAGTTGCAATATTTTATCAGACTAACAATTCTACTAACAATAAAGCATGTATTTTCATTTGATTGACTTATTACAAAATTCAATTTAAAGAGAATTAATAAGCTTATTTGAATTGTTAGATAATCTTGAATACAAACTGAGTATATGTGAAGCATCAACATTTTACAGAAAATTTAGTTAATTAGTCAATCACTAACATTATCATTTAATAACTTCCAAGGTGGAAAGTAAATCTTAAATTACCTTTTGATATAGATAAAATCTTTCCTGAGTCAAAAGAATTATATTTCATCATTATTTTATTAATAAATGTTGGTCAAAATTTAAAATCAATACAAAGCCACTTCGTTTTACTTATTTATATAATATGATGATAAGTTAAATTTAAATCGTTTAAATAGATAAAAAACAAACAAAAAAAAACTTAAAATAAGCCTAGAAGTTTATTTAATCATTCAAATATTATTTCACTTTATAATATTTCCCAATTTTTATTATTGTAATAAAAAAATTACAGCAAAACATATCTGAATTAACAAGTAAACATTGAATGTTCCCTATATAACAGGAAAAAGCAGTTTTCAAAACTAAATAATTGATTATGCTTGATTTACAATGACGAGACTGGTCGAAAATAACATGCAAACTCCCCCTATGCTTACTCTTGCACCTCGTGAAATATTCATCCCAACTGCGCACAGAGGGAAACAATCCATTAAAAGAAAAAAAATTCCTGTGTTTGAATTAGAGTTGATGTCTAATCAAGACCTAGAGTGACCGCAAAAAGTGCATTGTATGCAGATGAGCTGCACCGACGAGGGTGGAAGCAAATGAAAATTTAAAATCCCTCTGCGATTTGCAATTGCATTTTACTGCAAAAGACAAAAACATCGTTTGCTTCCAAAGGGAGCGAACGAACCACCCTCGGCAGCCCCACCAGCGTCATAAATAATTCAATCATTACCTGCCGGGCAACATCGGCGAGTGCATGTTCTTTGTGTGCAGCCCCAGTCTCTCTGTGCGCGGCGAGGTCATGTTATGTCGGCGGGGAGGCTTTTAACGGCGGAGGTGAATGGATCGGTACAATGCATGCGGCACAATGCCACCGCTTTTCCGCCTGTCTTTTCGCACAAGGCAAATTTACGCAATTGAAATTTTTTATTTATTATATAATGCTTGAGAGTGGAGCTTTGAGCATGAATATAAGAATTTAAAAACAAATTTTTCCTGATGAATGATATTGTTGATGGTTCACATTTGATTGAATTACTTGAAATAAAATATTAATTATAAAACTGATGATACTTTGAGACAATCCCACAGAAATTAGGAAGTTAACCCGATTTTGAGTATTCATTTGGATGATTAACTTGAATATTTATAACTTAATTTATAAATTATAAACAAAATAAAATTAAATATATTATTGTCAAAATATTATTTAAATTTAACAAAATCAATTTTTATGTAAAATTGAAAATTTTAATGAAAATAATATTAATGATAAGTAAAGTTAAATAAATAAATTTTTTTTAATATGTCTTCATGCATGTTTTAATTGATTAAAACTAGAAAAAAATTTACCAATAAAAAAATAATAATCTTTTGATCAAGTTGATCTCGAAAATAAAAAAAAATTTAATTGACTTGTTCCCTCTGCGCCAGGTCGACAAGACTTTGTCTTGGCCTGATCCTAAAAGAAAAGAAACAAAAATGATTCATTTAATTTAAATAATGTTTCTCCTTAAATATTCCTTGATTCTTTTATTTTAAGACATAATATAATAGAGTAAATAAAAAATGATAAAAATACCAACAAAATATTTTTGAATCAAAATATAGCTCCATATACTGAAGTTTTTGACATAATTAATACATCGTATTAACAGTAAAATATAGAGTCTCGTAGCAAAATGCAAAATGCAATGCAAGCCAATCAATGACTAGTGTGGGTGATTTTCAGCAAGAGAGACATTTCCCTCTAATTGCTTCCCCAGCTCATTTCCGACGGTGGTTTGACGCAGTTCGCTTCCTCTCAGCAAGGATATTGGCTCGCGTTTTTTAACCCGCAATTTCATCCGAGCGTAACCTCAATTTCAGCGAGGACGCACTTTGCTCCGTGAAGGCACACGGGACGAAGCTTGTTACTTCAATTGTCTGTCGTGGAATGGATCTTGGCTACCGAGGAAAGGAGAACAATGCGATTTCACCACAGTATTATGCAGCTGACAAATAAGACGTAAAAGAAAAGTAAAGACTCTACGGCAGAGCGGCTAACAAAATAAATCATAAAAATAAAATCTGCGTAAGCAAAATAAAATGAGCATGAATTTTTACGGTTGATCTCCTACTTGATCTTTTACCCATTTTTATTCATTTTTTGCTATAATCATGAAGATGAATTTATATGAGAAAGATTAAGTTAACGAAAATTTTGTTTGGAAAAATAATTGATAAGTATAAATTTGATCAGAATCAGACAAAATAAATAAATTTGATTATGTTATTCATTTATTATTCTTATTATCACTACTAAAAATTAATCCCCACAACGTCAATTCCAATAAAAATAATTTTAAATAAAATATTTAAAATAATCATATGTTATACATACACCAAAATATGTTAAAATTAAAACTAAATTTATTTCATTTGTAATTTATTTGTTGTTAAATAATTGAAACGGTTTTTAATAATTTCTAATTAATTAATTATTTATGCAATGAGATATAAAAAAAAGATTTTTGAATTATTTTTGGCATTCTTAGTTTTAAAACAATCTCTATTAAAATAAATTGTTTTTCCTCACACAAATCTATTTCCATCTGCTTAACAGACACAATGGGTGTTTGCAAAAGGACTTGCTGCTAATTAATTGTAAAATGAAAGCACTTACAAGTAACGTTGAGTTTGGTGGAGGCGTTGATGGGGGCGGGAAGGGCGACGTGGGAAGCACTGCAGGTCAGAGTGCAGTTGTGCAGCTGCCTGTTGATTTTGTCCAGCTGCAGTTCGTTGCCGGTGGAAAAGTTGGCCAGACTGTCCTGCTCGCCGTCCGGCGTCTCGATCCACCAGTCGAAGGACGAGGGCGGCGGTCGACCGCCCTCGACCACGCACCGCACCCGCAGGCCCGCGTTTTCTTTCACCCCGAGCCAGGGACCGATGCGACCTTTGCCCTCGGCGGTCAGGTACGACCCCTTCGGTGCATCTGCAACACAGAAAAAAAAGGAATTGTTAAAACTGATGAGCTAAGGAATGTTTGAATAAAAGAAAGAAGTTTTTACTGTGAGTATCAATATGATCTATAATTAATTAAAACAGAGATCCTTTTAATCTCAAATCGAATACAAACTCAAAATTAACAAGACTATTTAAATTTGAACGTTGTATGCAAACTCACATTTCCATGTACTACTGAACAACTTATAAACTCTGATCTAAATCAATAAATTAAAAAATGTTATTGATCAAATTGTATAAGTTATTTTAATCTATCCACTCACTCGTCAGCATGGTTTTAATGTACAACTTTCTATTACCAACCTCGCAGGAAGATTATACATCTAGTTTACTCAATAACAGTATTATTTATTCAAATAAAATTTTCTGGCCAATTCGTAAGCCCAATTCTATTATAAAAATTGTAATTTATAATAGTAGATAATATTGCAAATGACATTATAAACTCTTAAAACTAAAAATTTAAATATAATATATAATTTTCAAATTTAGAATTTAGTACATACCTGGTTCAATAATGGTACAGAACTGTTGCAGAACCGGTTCAGCCTATTCTGCATCAGTTCTACACCAGTTCCTCACCTGTTATGAACCAGATCTGAACCAGGGGTATAATTACTAGGATAAAATCAGATAAAATGTTTCTATTTCCGTTTTTGTAGTTAATTTTCCATGCGTTCATATTATTTTTTGCGGGCTTGGAAATTTTTTTTTTAATTTTTTTTAAATTTAGTACAGACCTGGTTCAATAATGGTACAGAACTGTTGCAGAACCGGTTCAGCCTGTTCTGCATCAGTTCTACACCAGTTCTTCACCCGTTATGAACCAGATCTGAACCAGGGGTATAATTTGCTAAGATAGAATATGGTTCCAATTCCATTTATGTAGTTCATTTTCCATGCGTTCATATTATTTTTGGCGGGCTTGGAATTTTTTCTTTTTAAATTTTCTCAAATTTAGAATTTAGTGCAGAACCTGGTTCAATAATGGTACAGAACTGTTGCAGAACCGGTTCAGCTGTTCTGCATCAGTTCTTAACCATTTTTGAACCAGGTGTATAATTATGAATGATAGAATGGTTCCATTTCTATTTTATTTTATAATAGACAATCTTAATACTTTTGTGTTTGCATTTCGTGGCACTTTAATATTATATAGTATAACTTCAATGGTAGAAACGAGTGGTTGGCGATTTGGCCGATTCGTTCGCTTGTTACTGGCGATCAGCTGTCGGAGTCAAAAATTGCATTGGAAGGAGATTAAGTGCGTGGGATCGAGTGGCAGGCGGAGCGAGGCGAAAAGTCATCATCGGATTTCGATTTGGCCGGCTGCGAAAAAGAAGAAGACAGAACAGGTTGAGAGAGTTGGATCGAGACCTTTTGGCCCTCGAGCCCATCGACCCTTATCATAATGACATCCTGCAGGGCCGCCGGCTTTTTGCATGCGTCGCCCAAAATATTTACGGCCGCTACAATTTATTCCAAATTTCATTGTCTGCTGAGCCGAGAAATCCAACTCGCTCTCGCCTTTATTGCGTTCGTATCCCGTGCCGACTTGCTGGATATATCAAATCTGCCAAAACCCACACTTTGACCGGTTCTCCGTGAAAGACTCGATCACATCACACACATATATCAGCCAAAAATATAATATTTCAAATAGAAAAAAAATGTGCAAAGAAGTGAAAAAGAAGTGAAGAGTTGGTATTTTGTATGCTGATTCCATATTGCAAAAAATTATTTCTGTTTCAAATTTTTAATAAAAAAATTATTACTTCAATTAAATATTTATTATTTCCCGATATCTTTCACAACCAAAATCGTATTGATTTCATATTTATTTATTTGTATTTATTCATATTGATTCGTAATTATCGCCTCTTGGTAAATACTGGGCTATGAGTTTCAGTGAGTTGTTCACTAGCACTGTGTGCCTATTTTGCTCCCATACCAATTTTTTTCAATTGATTGTTCTCACTTGTTTGAAGAATAATAAATTAATTGAATTGAATTGAGATTTTTCATTTTTTCCTTACTAGATATTATATTATACTTGTCATCCGCTTTTTACATCAACAAAATATATTGAAAGATGCTTATTTTTAGCTTTTTAATAGGATTACCATAACAAGCTCTCCCCTCTCACTATTGTTTCACAATCTCTTAGAGGCTTGTCAAGAAAGCAATATTGAAAGGAGCTGCTGACTGACTCGGCTCGGCTCCCCCACGTTATATTCCGGCCGATAAGTCCAGGGGGGCCTTCATAATTCCTGTACCCTCGTGACGGGCCCGCAAATAGCCTCACTCAAGCGGCAATGATATGCTCCAAGTGTCATCTCCTTTGAGTGACAGCTCATGAAGAAGAAATGGATTTCCCTGCCGGCCGCCAAGTCACTCGCTACGCCCTTAATTTCGTTAGGCCACCCCAGCGGCTTTCGAGGAAACAAACCAGAAAAAAATACTCGATCAAGAAGCACTTTATTTCAATAAAGCCGTTAAGAGCTGATAAATTGACAGGAAGGTAGAAATTTCTTTTATTTTTATAAATTTTTTCCGCTACTCTTTTATCATTCATAAAAGTTATAAATGAAATTGCAAAGTTTGTTGAATATTTGTAGTTTTTTTATTGCTATTTTATATTTTCTAAATAGTTTTGCCGTTAGATTTCAGTTTTCAAGTGCACTTTAACAGATCCTTTTTTTGGAGAAATTAGATTCAAATTATAAAACATATAAAAATATCTGTCATTGATACAAATTTTCCTACCTTTCCTTTTCATTGTTAAATCTGAGCCGCGTTTTATTGTTGCTGTTTAGTTTTTTCATAAAGTAAAATAATTGTTTGGTGCATCAAAATCACTTAAAATTAGCAATAACTCTACATAACTTTTTCAACTCAACAAACAGATTTCCAAAGAATTCCGCCTCGATTTCAACAAAATTTAATTTGCATTTTAGGTTTTAAGATTAATTTGCAGAGAATTATTGCACAAATTAAAAAAGTAAAATTTAATATCAAAATACCTGAAAATCCTGAACATTTTTCATAAAGTTTTATGAGTTTTTTTATAAATTATAATTATATACACTTACCCATGATGACGATCCACACAGCCCTGGTGGCGATCAGGTCTTTCGTCTTGGAGTCGCGCTCTTCGCACTGCCAGGGTCCCTCCTCCTGAGGACCCACCCTGAAGATTCGGAGGGTGTCCGAGGACAAGTGGTAGATCGAGTTTCGCTGCACAGTCTTGCCGTTGTGTTTCCACGTGAGTTGGGCGTTGGAATCGCACGCCAGGACCACTTCCTCGTGCAGTCTGACGACCAGCTCTGGTTTCGATTCGCCCTCCTCGAGTGGTCTGTAAGGAGCCCCGTGATGACGCAGCGAGTGCGACGTCAAGCCTGCGTGCCCTGAAACAAAAAATGCAAAAATGTAAGCTTCATTTTCTTGAGATTGGACCGAAGATTTATTATCCGCTCAAAGAAATCAACCATATATTATAATTGATCTGGTGTTTTTCAGTAGAAAAAAAAATCATAGCAAAACTTTGTTTGTTACGTTTCTTAAAATAAATTTATTGAATCAGAGATATTGATGGATGAAATTGATTCAAAAATTAGTCGCAAAAGAACGATGAATTAATATCTTTAAATTGTAAATCTATAAAAAAAATTAAGAACGGCCTTCATATTCGTGAGAAATTTGTCATGAAAATACATAGTTTTGACATTATTGTTAAGAAAAAAACATCAGGAGTAATTCAATTCAACAAATCAAATGGCGGGAATGAAGTACTAAAAATTAGCAAAAAAATTCTAAATAATATGTTTCCTAAAACAAACAGAAAAACACAATAATTCATGAAAAATAATCCCTATTATAGTTTAAAGAACTCCTGCCTTGAATGTTATTATTTTTGTCTCCAAAAATAATATTTGTCAAATTTACATTTCAACCGATACAACACTTAAAAAATTTCACAATTTAAAGTACATAGCACAGAAAAACCTTTCTATTTTTTTTTTTTTTTTTTTTTTTTTTTTTTTTTTTTTAATTTTAATTTCCACCAATCTCAAGAGAAATCCAATATTTTCATTCCTCCCAGAATTATATATTGAATGAGATCATGAGCAAAGAGTTGTTTGAAAAATTTGTAAGGGAGAAACGGCGCTTTCATTCACCAGTCCCTTGGTGATCACATTTCCATCATCCACGTTTTGCACGCCTCCCCGGAGTGCTTTAAACTTCAGCCAAACAAATTCGCTCCACCGCTGGCTTTTTCTTTTTTTATATAATACCATTGATTGATCACGCTCTGCTGGTGAGTGGAGAAATTTATATCAACCATTCTTTGCAGGTTTATTTTCCACCGAAAGAAAGAGAGGAAAACTGCACGGCGGAGAAAATTAAATTGAAATGCGGTGCTGGTCCATCGGGCGAGTGGGGTCAAGTGTACATACACAGATTGGGCCCAAACTGCTTTTGATGCACGTCACGTTGTGTTCATAAAGAGCCAACGGACGGCAATATTATTAAAACGGGTGTGACCCCGCAGGTCCGGTGCTCTCGCGTCAGTTCATATTTCACGAGAAATGCCCGGCCAAATCACGTTCCACTGATAAAAGCAGCTCTCTCGCGCAACCCTCCCAAATACACACTGCACTGAAGTGGGTGTTGCTCAACATTTATATAAAAAGACCAAAAATGTATTGTTAAATAAAATTTTTATTATTAATATTTTTTTTAAGTCAACTATTTTTTTAGTTTTAAAACTTAATTACTTAATAATAATTTTTTAATATATTTATTTTTTATTCAATGTGTTTTTATCAACCTTTTTTATTACTTGATTCTCAAAGAAATTTTTAAATAAATTTACAAAAAAAAATGTTATTTTTATAATGGTGTTGTCAGTCGGATGCCAGCTTTGACATTAGTTTTAAACATTTATAAAGATATTTTGTATGCATTAAAGGCATGGTTGTTATAATTTGAATGTTTTGATTTACATTTGATTGATAGATAAACTGAAAGAATTACTTTACTATTTTGGAATAGGAATAAGTAATGTTCTATGGCGAGTAAAAATTTTAAAAAAATTACAAATGCCAAGAGACCAGGTTTTTTATGCGTGTTGGTTGTAAAAATTACTATTTTTGCCACTATTTAACATATGGCAGAAAATTTTGTTTGCCATCTGAAAAAAGTTTGTCGCCGCTCCCCTAGTGCAATAACGGCAGATATATTATTGATATTGAAAGAAAGCATACATATATCCCCATCGTTTTCCTCTCGCCCCTCTGTAAGTGTTTCTTTCGGTTGGTCAAGCACTTGGCCAAATATTATATATAATATCGTTGTGGTATCTCGTGTGTGTGGGATCAAATCAGCGGTCGGCTGCAGCGCAGCAGGTATTAGAGTTGTTGGACGTGCGAAGATATAAAAGATGAAAAAGTTGGTGCGTGCCCAAAACGTCGCTCTGTCCGTGGAGAACAACAAAAGAACAACAAGGGACGCCGGCAAAACTTTTCAAGGGGTTTTGTGCGGCGCGAGAACAAGAGCTCCGCAGAATTCTTTCATCGCCAACCACGCACCTTCTTTCAAAATGAGAAGACTGAATTCATTCTCAGATAAAATAAGACTAAATTGGCTACAGAAAGTTTTGTACTTTATATGAAAACGTCTCATCACTTTTTAAATAGAGTCGGACACTTTATGGAAATGTAATACGAAGTATTAAAAGATTAATAAGATTATCCAGTCCAGTTTATCATTTTTTAATAAAACTTCGTTTCCATACACACAGTCTGTTCTTCCTCTTACAATGTTATCCACCAAATAAAGTTGTGTACATATTTTAAAATGATCAATGCATTTTTATTTATTAAATTTCACTCCAGAACTGATGTGAGCTTGTTGTTAGATGGGGAAATATATACATTTTTGCCGTTATGCTTATTTATTTTATATCACAATTTTTACATTGAGAGGAAATAGAATTATTGAGCGGGAGATTTTGAATTGCGCTGAACAAATAGAAACCACTTGATAAAAAGATTTTGCTTCTTCCTCAATTATATTAACTGCTGAAACATTCCATTTTATCATAAATCGACTTTTAACGCACAAATTTGAGAAGGAAAGTTTAATTTAAATTAAAATAAAATTCATAAAATTATTTAGATTTACTCACAAGCTAAGATGGCAGGGGCATTGTTGGTGCTAATTGTAAGTAATAAAAAGTGGCTTTTAATCACACAGCTTGAAATTAATTTTAAGAATCAAATCTATTTATTTGTTTAATTTTTAAATGTATCAAGAAATTAATTCCATTTTCAATTAAGATTGATTGTGAACGTTGGAATATAGTACAATTTTAATAGAAAAAAATACTTTTATCACTTTTACAATAGTGCAAGTTCAAAGAAAAAGGAAACGAGTATTTTTCCGGATTTGATTAGGAATTCTATTTCTCTCTCTGATGGAACGTCTTTTCCTCTCACTCGGCACTATTTCCCTTTGGCTTTTCCAGCACAACGGAAAAATCATGAATAAATTTTCAATAAAAAAACGACCGCTTTTCCGGGCGCTTTTAACCTAAATAAAGAACGTCTGTTTGATTGAGGAGGAAAGGGCACGAGGCAAGTGCTGAGCAATCAGATCCTCTTTTCTCTCTCCGGTCGTTTCATTCCCAAATAGAGATGCACATCTCGTTAGCAGCCAACTAGTAATGTAGGCAGACCCGCCGGCCAAACCCCGGGGGCGGCATTAACTTTGTGTTCGGAGGTGCGAAATAAAATCTCTTCCGCCAGAGATGCTCACGTGCACCGAGTTGGAGTGCAATCATAAAATGCGTTTTCCCAACCAGTGTTTTTTGTGTTTTTATTTCCTCTCCAGAGTGCTCTTTCTCTGCCGTTGATGTTTGTTATCCGAGAGATGAGAGAGGCGCACACGCGTTTTGCTTTTTCGTTTCACTCTCGCGAGCAATCGCGTGATTGCAGCTCTCCGGCTGCTCATCTCTGGTTTCTCTGTTGCACACGCGGGGGTGAAAAACGAAACCAGAGACAAAAGAGAGCAGATCGGCTTTCCGCTTCGTAAAATTTGCTGCTGTTGCCGACATGCACATTTTTGATTAGAGCACCGAGCTGATGAATACAAAAAGAATGCACCAGTTTGAAAATCTTGTTTTGTTTTTTGTTTTAGAAACGACAGATCTAGTAAGTAGAAAATAAATAATATAATATAAGCTATGGCAAATTTATTTGAGGAAAACTCTCCTTTTAGAGTTTATTCGTTTATTGACTTGACTTTGAAAGATGCTGCGATAAATTTTCAGCTAAATTTATCAAAACTTTTACTCAGCTTTTTAATAACTGGAAAAAATGGCCGAATTCATAGAATTTTTTTACCTAATAATTTTCATCCAAGCTTTTCTTTACCTTGATGATATAACTTCGCTGATTGTGAGAATTAATCCAACTAAATTTAAATTTCTCCTTCTTTATAGCCACAGATTTATATGGTTCAAGTTATGTTTCTTTCTTCACAGAAGATTCAATTCTATTTTGCAAACTTAAACAAATATGAAGTAAATTTTTACTAACTGCAACTCTAATCTTCTCAGATGTATAATTTCTAGAAGAAATAATTCAAATAATATCATATTCTATACGTGTAAAACGAAAACATACAATTGGTAAAGGTTTCTGATGGTGGGTTACAATGTTTACAATTTGAGGAGTCTGATTCAAAAACTTTTCCATCTGAGCAAATAGCGAAAATTGCTCCTTTCGCTGGCTGTTCAAACTTGGGTCCACAAACACCTGACACCAGCCGTACGTTTTTCCGAGGAGAACAAAGAAAGTCCTCTCATTATAATCTGCTCATTATTGATGTTGCCGAAAACTCGCGCACGAAGCGAGCAAACGCATTATTATCTCTTCCGCAGCTGCCGGGAATTATACGCAAACACGCTTGATTATGCTCAAAAGGAGAAGAGAAGACACACGTCGTTGCAGCTAGAGACAAAAATAAGGACCCTGTGCTGTGCAAATAGGCATTGTTTATTCGTCACCCGTCCTTTATCTGCGGCACAAAGACGACGGCGGCGCGCACGCCTCATCACTTTAATACAATCGAGTTAGGCCGACATTGTTCCTTCACATATAAATAAAGGCCCATTACGCGCCTCTGCCTTCGCCAAGTGTACGAGACTTCTGCAGAATAAATATATGTACGCGAGTGGCAACATCCATTTTCTCCTCGGCTGCAGTGAGAATCAATTAAAATGCCTTTTTGCAACCCTTCCGCTTTATTATTCAGACGGGAGCGAGTGAAATTTAATTCCAACTGCTGCCGCTTCTTCTTTCTGCTAAGCAGCCAGATTGAATTTACATCTGTGCGCTCTCGGAAATTTTCTATTCGGAGCTGGCACAAGTGAATTAAGCATGGTGTTCTGCTCGCGCCTCAACTATGGTTGCAAATTGCTTCTTTAGCCTAATGGCTCAGAGGGAAATCTCATTTTAACTGCGCACGCCAATTCAATTGCCTCTCATCCAGTCGGCGCAATATTAGAAGCAAAGGGATCAAATTTTATTTTATGTCACTTCGTTCATCTCCGCCTGTTAAATAGATTCTAGGGTTCAATCTTTGGATTTTTCGACGAAAGAAGGCAAGTTCAGGATTTAAAAGAGAACTTATAAATATATTTAAATTAAGAGTTAAATTGTGCACTCAAGTGATGTTTAAGACTTGAAAAATCAGGCTTTTTCCTCAATAAACAATTTTTAAAAAAATTTTGGGTTTAGTTTTGATCATGATGAAAAAATCTATAAGGATGGAACCCGATTTTCTAACCCGTTTTAATTTTTTTTTTAAACTATTTTAAGTAAAACTTTTATTTCTATTTGCACACTTTTGGCATAAAATTTTCTTTGTAATAATATTTATGATTTATGATTGTTTTTAAATAAGATCTCATCACCAATTACTGAATTAGACGATAATCATAGATATTTTTTTTTTTTAAATTGTACTCAATTTTGTAGAAATAAAAAAAAAATTATGTACAGCAACTATAATTTTATTGTAATAAATTTAAGTTTAGTTGCAAATTATTACTGCTCTAATTAATTGCCAATCAAGTCGGGTGAATCAAATAGGCTTAGTAAGTTCAAGTTAAAATTTTTCCATCGATTAACTTCAAATCAATAAGGCAGAGGTCCACATATGGCGAAACTTGCCACTGATCCGACGCTATTTAACGTAAGCCCGATAGCGTTGAGGTAAAGTTGATTATTTTTTGCAACATTACGGTAGAACTGGTTAATGTCCACGATAAGTCCAACGGGCAGTTTCTTAAAATTTGAGCACCAACTGTCCGTACCGTCACCATTGTCAAAAGTTGGATAAATATAGCCCCATTTGCCGGTCATTGCTGTGTGGCAAAATTAGTGAGGAATTTTGAATCAATTGTAAACACAAACCAGGTTTTATTGCCACAAACGCGTTGTAATCACTCAGCGTTTCAAATGTTATAAGATTTCCTCCAAGTTCACAGCACAGTGCTTGGGCTTGTGCCAAATTCTAGTATTTTAATATTGAAAGACCCTGTTACTAAATATTAATCGTTTGATTAGGAGGGACGGATATTTAAAAAATTGAACTAAAATAAAATTATAAATATTTGAAAAAATTGGAGGAGAGAGGGAATCATTCATTTCGTCATTTAGCTTAATTATTATATTCCAAATTCAAACACTTCTGCTCTGTACTTTATAAGTAAAATGTAAGCAAAATTTAGAGCCCCCAGTCTCGAATTAATCAAATCATCATTCGCAATTCACTTAAATTGATTCCAATATCAGCCCCCTTCAGGGATATAATTTTTTTGACTCAATCTATTTTTTAATATTTCAACTCACCACGCTAGTTACGAACTTCCAGAAATACTTTTTACCCGTTGATGTGGTTAGTAATTCACCTCCTGTTGACACTGATTGTCGAACGACATAATTTAGATAATGATGATAATTGATAGAATATTATACAGAATTGAACAGTAATTATGCATTCACAGCATCATCATTTTAAATTAAAAAATGTAAAAATAAGTATCAAAGGAAATCTTACAGTTACCGGTAGTCTTCAGCTCGTTAATTTTTATTAGCTAATTCAAAAATAAGTTTAAGTAGAAAAAAATAATAATGAAAATTACATCCGGTGTGCAAGGAGAAAATTGAGCGGGGCACACTCGATATTTTGTGTTGATGCTCCCTGCTGGGGATGGAAGCACCTGAATATGTGATAAATATTATTAGAATTTAAGAATATAATTTTAAGTAAAAAAAATGCTCATCACACGGTTTCTACGCCTTTGTTTAAAGAAACAAGCCCAAGAGTAAGTTCCGGCGCGGTCTTTTTTCCACATTGGAAAATCTTAGCCATGGCCTCGCACTCGTCATTGTGATCTGGTTATCATATTAATTCATATAATGCATAGAAACAAGCAAGTTAATAAACTAATTGTGGAGCAGGAATCGAAACCAGTGAAAGCAGATTGCAATCCGAGATCATCGTTGGAGCTAAGGTCTTCTAGCCCACGTAGAATTTGATCTGACACCATATTTCCACCTTTTATCTGGACAACATGCAATTTTGTAAACCCATGAAAATCGAAATTGATTGAAAATTTTCAAAAAGTATAGTTCATTGATCCATTCATTTCAAGCTTATTATTGCAGCCTATAATTATGAAAATTCTTAATACTAGAAAATTTAACTCACCATATTTCCTTTTTTCCCGCAACACCTGATGTAACACTAATAAAAGTATTAAAAAAAATTTTGTTTTTTATTTAAAAAATCATACTTTAAGATTGCGTTCCTGAGTGGTAACGTCACCTGATTTATTCATTATGATTTGATCTATTTGAAGGTCTGACACATTCCAAATTTCCTGACAAGACGTTTTAATTTGAACGGATTTGCTTGCAGCCTTTAAAGTCTTGGAGAAATAATATATGAAATAAAAGCTATCAAAAATGCATGAAACAATTTACTTCGCAAATAAAAGGTTTCTTTAAAGTGCAACTTCCTTCTCCGAGATATGTTTGGTTCACGGTTGTGTTTGAAAGATTCAAGAAAATACACATTTCCGCTTCTTCCGTCGGGAATTTTCCGTTTTTCCAATTGGCGATTTCCTCGATTTTTAATATTTCGCTCTCTGAGCACCAAAAGTGAGGACCTGGACACCCTGTGTTGCTCCCTGAGGTCCAAAAATCTCTCCCAGTTTGATCTGGATAAACTTTAAACCCAGTTTAATAAAATTAACATAATAAAAAAAAGATAAAATCATTAATTTTCATGGTAGTAAATATAAATAAAAATAATAATACGTGTTGTAAATAAATAAATATATAAAAAAGGTTACGTAAAAAATACCTGCTGCAGGATATTTTGCTACCATATTTGTTAAACACTGCAATTCATTCACAGCCTCAATTGAGGTTAATTTCATGCCAAGAGAACAACAGTATGTCCAAGCGTCTGCCCAAATCATCTGTTAATTAAAATCTATAAATTTAATTAGGTTTAATTTTAAATGTGTTATTTAGCACTGATTTTGACGAAAACAAATATTCCTTCCCACATCCAGAGTTCCACTGACCGTGGGCAAAGAGATCTATTATAGTTAAAATTATAAGCATGATATTTTTAGTATTAATTCATTCAAACTGGTGACATTATTCCCAGTAAAGAGTGAGTTCTATATAATTAAATTATTTGATTCAATTAATTATTGACAATATTCTGCATTTATTTGAGTTTATTTACGCTTTTCTCGCACTTGGAGGGACAACTTGGCTTATTGCAAAGTGTCGAGAGACTTGTAGTGCCCTGAAATTTAAGTATTTTAAAATTTTTATTTGAATTATTTTTTTAGTGATTATGCCCAACTTTTACTATTGAAACACATTTTCGCAACCTGACAAGCGATGACATATTTGTTTGAGCAGTTTCGGTCGGAGAGTGCGAGATCGGAGCCGTTTTTGCCAACCCGTAGGTGCAGACACATTTCGTCCGGAATTGCATTGTCCGGCTGTCCATCTGCCCACAAAAGTGAGTCGGGTAAGATGAGGGGGCCATTGGGGGTGCACCAAGCCCACTGACCCCACGACCCCTGCGACCGCCCTGCCGTCCAGTAATTGTAGTTCAAAGTCCAGTTACTTTTGGTAGCGTTCGAAAGACACTCCATATCAGACGCGTCCTGAAACCACACGGGACGCATACCGAGGCTGTTACACGTGTCCCAACTTTGCTGCCACGTTCCCTTAATTGAAATTCAATGAAAATATGCACTAGAAATCAGACCATTGTTTTACGAGTTGGTTAGAAAAAAGATACATTTTCTTGCAGACTTTTATCCACTTTCCATATTTTTCTCCGTCTGAAAATTAAATTAAATTATTGCGATTGAATGCAATTATGCTGACCTTTTAAGTTTCCACTCTTGTCAAACAGTGAATTCTGATTGGAAAAAAAAATACTTTCAAATTAGTTATAAACTCTTTTCCAATTAAACCAACATTTTTCGCGCTAACCAGTGATGGGCACGTATCTTCAGATTTTGTTTTCATCTAAAAAATTTAAATAAGTAAGGAGAAAAAAATTATGTTTATAAAAATTATACGGGATTAAGCTCGCACAAATATGGCAGTTTGTTACTGGAGGGAAGTGCAAAAAAATTAGCACCGGTGCTGTCAGCAACCAAAACCAAAGCTTTCTGCCCCAAATCTGCAGAACTGGATCCGTTGATTTTGGCTGAAATTTCAGCAGTAATGTCCACGTTTGTCAGACACCAAGCAAAATTTAACTTGTAGTTCAGACAAGAGCCGTTTCCTTCGTTCGATCCCACGGTCCAAATATTTGAAACGTCCAGATCTTCATTATTAAGTAAAATTTGATATTAAATTATTTATAAAAAAGACCTTTTAAAATTTGATGAATGGATTTAATTTTTGTAACGTCCGGTATGGCCACAAGGGACATGTTCAGAGAGAAGCAGTTTTTGGCAGCTTGTGCTTGAGACTCGCCATTCGGCACCAGCAAATACGTTTTTCCATTTTTCACAATTGATTTTCCTGCAGTGAATATTTTTTAATAAGAAATGTTCAATGCTCAGTGATTTTAAATACCTTTACTGCGAATTTGAAGGGCATCACTCTAGAAAGGTAAAATTAATGAGATTTGATAAAATTTCAATTAATTTAAAATACGGTGCTTTCATTGAATATCAGTTTTTCGCATCTTGATGCTTCACATTGTGCGGCCTAATTTAAATCTTGTTGTTATTGATTTTTTTTATGTGATCGAAAGAAGTACATTTATTGAACTTGATGTAGATAATGTGTTTGTTGAAGTAGCTATCGAGGGTAATTTAGTTATTACTAATGTCGTAGAGGAAGGACTTGACTCTTGATAAATTGAAGTGATCGTCAATCTAGATTTCATACGAATGAATTGAAATTTATTTTTCATTTTCCGCACATCTTTACGTATCTGACGCTGTCAGTTGCGAAATTTCGTTTGTTATGATGTTTTGATTTGAAATGTACTCTGTAATTGCAGGATGCGTGCCCGCACTAGTGTAATGGCCGCTGATTTTAATTACATCTGCATCCGTGCTTTTGGATCCAACGAGGCCCATCGACGTGCTGCTGTAAAATGTGACGTCTGACGACGCAATTTCGCTTGTTGACGTTTTCTCCAGAATTTGTTGCTCAGAAATTGAGCTAAGATCGTCAACGGGTACATCAGTGGCGGGAGATGCAGTTCTCTTTTGCGTCTCAGTTTTTGAATTTATTTGACGCAATGTTGATTTGAAATAAATTTGGTCAATTCTGTTAATGAAGGGCAAAAATTAATGTGCACTTGAATTTTGCTTACAGATTGAATACTATTATAATTATAGATTAAATAAATTAAATTATTTAAATATTAATCAAATTTACTCAGTTGGTTTGGTTTTTGGGTCAAATTTATCGGCATTTTTAGAGCTGTTTGAGCTGTTTCCTTTTGAACTAGTCGACGCAGAAAGCTTTGAAAACTGAGCTGAGCATTTCAGATGACCGCAGCATTTGATTATTGGAAATCTTCTGCCTGAAATTTTGTATTTCGTTAATGCTTTTCTCCCCACTTTCTGATTCTCACCTTGTTTCAGTAATTTCACATTTTGCCCAACTTTTGTCACTCTCGCCTTTCCAAAAATCACCTATTGATTAATTATAAAAGTAATCCTTTAAATAAAATAAATTATAAAAATTTCAAAAATACCTCAGCAAATGTTAAAACTAAAAGCGTGGATAGAAAATTGTGCCACCTCATATCTGTTGACCACTATGTATGAGTAACTAACTGGGATATAATTATGTCTGACGTTTGCTGGGATGCAACTTCACTTCACTATTATAAAATATCGAAAATTTTGAATTATTGTATCTGTATAATTATATATTCCTCGCCACTAATTGGTCCAGCGATAGTGCGGGTCAATAATTTTATTTGTGTTGATTTCCGATATTCTTCTATGCACGTCAGTGATTTTTGTTAACCACTTAATAGGTGCATTTTGGCTACTAGAATTAAAAATTATTGCTTTTTTATTCGCCTTTTCTCTCTCGTTCTATTTGGAGCTGGCAAATGAATTATGCATGATGTTCTGCTCACTCCTCAAGTATTATTGCAAATTGCTCCTTTCTCAGAGGAAAAATCTCAAGAATATCATGCAATTGAAATGACAGCATCCTAATTTTGTGTTTTTACTAATCAAATTTTATTGAATTAGATCTTAGGCTGCGTTTTTTTTAATCAGTATCAAAATTTAATAACTTGTATTATCTATAATATTTGATAAAAATAATTCCAAATTAACTATCATCAATTAACTTTAAATTAATAAGGTAGAGGTCCGCACATGACGTAATTAGCCATTACTCCAGAGTCACTTGGCGTGAGCCCGTTAGTTTTGTATGCATCTTAATTAAGTCTTAAAGTAATTTAAAACATTTTGTTGGTTATTGATGAATTTGTTTTATAAGTTTATGGTGCGAATCAAAAATCAATTCAATTGAAGATTAAATAAATGTTTTCTAGTGTTGCAAAGTAATTTAATTTACTCTGTGGATTTGGTTTTCGGATTGAATTCATTGCTGTATTATTGTTGTTTATTCTTGACAAATCAAGTCAAATTGAGAAAAAAATTTGAGTATTGTTTAATTTTGTTAATATTTTATGCACACGCTTTGAAATTAATACCGTTCTTTGGTAATTTCGAGTTTCGTCTAACTTGTGCCACTTCCTCTTTTGCGGAACTAACCTGTTGATTAATTACCACTAAATACAAATTAATATGAACAAATATGTAAATACCTTAGTAAATTTTAAAACTATAAACGACGACAGCAACAGAAAATTCCACCTCATTTCTGTTGGCCCCAAATATGAAAACTAACTATGCCAGACTTGTGTCGGGTTGGCTTTTCTGTTATTACAAAATATTGAATTATTATTTATACTGTACATTATTACCATTTCCCACTACTATCATGCACTCCCCACCAAAGGTTCAGCGCAAAGAGCGGAACTCAATGATTTTATTTGTTCTGACTTCCGTAATGCTCATCAGTATGGCGCATTGCATGGAATTCTTGGTAAAACTCAGTAAAACTCAACCAGTCAATTGTCATAAATTAGCGCCAGCACTAGCAGGTGATTTCTTTTGAAAAAAAGAAGAACAATTTCTTACGTTTAATTAATTAATTATAATTAACAGTCCTGCTGAAAATCACTGTGTCCTAAATTTTACTTAATCTTTGATAAATAATTAGCAATGATTATCATATTTTGAATAATAGCAGATCATTCATACTTATGAATTCCTCTAAATTAATAATTTTATTAACAACCAAGTATTTAATAATTGGTTTAAGTAAGTTTTGCAATTAAGTAGTCTAAATATTTTCAATCATATAAATTTGTATTTTAAACATATTTCATAAGTTTGATATTTCTATTATCAATATGCGATACCATTATGTCTAAAATAATTTAAATATTCCACAACAAAAAGATTTATATTATGAAATAACCTGTCATTATGTGCAAGCGTTTGCTAGGAGAATCTGACTATATTGATTTATTTATTATAACGTTAGTTTTTTATAATTTTGTTTCAAATAGTAACAATAAATCAATCATTGAAAAGATATTGAACCTTCGCTTCAATTAGAGATACTTGGCAATGAAAAGAGCTTTTAAAGACAACTTTTTCCCGCAATCAGCCAGAAAACAAAAAAAGCAATGAAAGATTTTATTGTCTATTGTCAGAGGGAATTCTTCTATACGTGGACGTCCAATGGAGTCACTTTTTATTTCATCCTCCAGAAAGCAGCCCACGGGCGGAAAAACACAAAAAGCAGACCCATTTGCCTGTCCCTCCCTTTCTCTCTCTCCCCCTGAGAATTCGGTCCTGAAAGAGGCTGCAAGGATGAACAATGTGCGCTCTAGGCGGGCAATCAAGCATACTGAGTGCAAAAAGTGGCTGCTCTCGGCGCCTATGTAGGGTAACTGCGTGCGCCCCAGTACAGCCAGCGCGCAGTTTGCCGAAGAAGGGCGCACTCGAGGGTGAAAATATCCCCATCCGCCCCGTTCCTCGCCCGCGCATAAATGTTCATCAATCTTGTTCATTCTCTCTAGCTCCAGTTCGCGTCTATCACTTTTACGGCCGTAATGTTATATTTCCTCATTTTTATATTCCCCACTCGTAAATTGCATCATCGCTCGGCGCAGTAGATTCATTTCGTCCCCGCCAGCTAACTAGGTCCAAGTTCCATACTTCACGGGAAAAGCCTTTCAAATGTATAAATTATAAAAAAATATTTTACTTGTAAAATGAGAAAACAAGAGGATCGTTTATTTGATGGAAAAAACAAAATATGACTTGAATTCAAAAAAATTTTTTTTGATTATTTGGAAATTTTGTCTTCCTTATAAAACCCTGGAAAAGAACATCTCAAATGTTGTTTTTTTTCCTTCTAATTCTAAAAAAGGATATTTTTAAGTTAAGATGTTATATAAAAAGGTCGAATATTAATGTATTCTGGAAGCAAATTATTCAGAAATTCAATAGAAAATGGACCTATTTATCAAAAAGTATGTTTTCTGACAGGTTTTTATCAGTTCATCAATCGTCTGATTAAATTAAAAAATCCCTGTCCACTTATAATTGAAATTGAGTGTCAGAAAGTAAAATTTGAGGGTCTCATATAACTGCATTTTCAGATTACCAAAACTAAGCAGCTTTCTTTTAACTACATCAAAGTAAATGACAACTTATCACAGTCGGGATTTGGATTTGTGAATTTTATTTACCACTCGGGTGCATTTTGGCTACTCGAGTTAAACATTGCTCCCCGCGCGCGTTTGCTGCTTTTTGATTCTCTTTTTCTCTCTCGTTCCCCCTGCAGCCGAGACGGTCTTCCATTCTGCTCAAGGAGAGTATCAATTGTCAGGGAACGAAATCAAATTAAATCCTCCTGAGACAGAAGAGACGCGGAAGAAAAAGCGACCGGAGGGAACGCGGGGAGCGAAATTGTCTTGCAACGACAAAGAATTAGCAGCAGGAAAGGACGAGGCTTTTCTTTGCACAGCGGATACACACAACCAGGGACGAGGATGTAATGATTGCGACAAGCCCTGGTTCTTAGGAGGAAATATAACCCTTTGTTTTCCAAACAGGTTGCGTTTTTTTACTAAAAAACCCACGCACATACAAACACAATCAGATAAAAGATATTTTAATAAAAATTATGAAATTTAGACCTAAATTACAATTAATAGATTTAAAGTTTGGCGAAATATTTTTAATTGTCAATTTTTTTAAGGCATAAATTTTTTATTTTAATTTTCAAAAAATATTTCAAAATATTTGCAGATGAGTAGATGAAACTTATTAAATTATTATTGTATTAAAAGTGTAATAATTTAAGTTTTTTTTAAAGAATTTTTAAATATTTTTATTAAAATACAAATAATATTATTTCTTCAAATAGTTTTTAGTGCACGTGTTTTTTCTGTTCTAATTAGTTTTTTTAACTTCAAATTTCTAAATGTGTAATTAAGCAGCCTGGAAAGGTGTTTTTGGAGGAACTGAAATCATTTAAACGAAAAACGTCAAATAATATTACATTAGTTCATATTTTTAAAATAACAATCTGCGAGCGCGATCCAAGTGTTTCAGTCCTAAATTAGAATAAAAAAGAATTTTTCTGCGTCTTTCCAGAGTCATGGCCTCAGGCTCTTGACTGCTGCTTTTCCGCGGCAGTATTTTGTCTCGAGTTTGGCGAGTTACTGTGAACACGGTGGTCTCTTGAGACGCACCTCCATATACGCATGTCGAGGGGAGAAGAGAATACAGTGTGTCTGCTCATCGGACACGTAAGAATGGAAGAGCACAAGTTGGCTCGTTGTCGGGGAAGGAAGAAAAAAGAAAGCAGACGATGCTGGAAAATGGTCGTGGAGCGAGAGCTAAAAGCTGGAAGACAACTTCCTGCTCGATACTTTATGGAGGATGGCACTCGGTCGAGATTGTCCGGCTTGAATCGATAATCTCATAAGACAAAGTGGACTAATGCAATGAAGCAGCAGCTTGAGCAGGAAATCTGTCCGAGGCTAACTAGGTGAAAATGGCACTGCGGAAAAGATGCTGCGCCGCCGTAACTCACAATCATCCAGCTCAAAGCGAATCTGTGACCTTCTTTCCACCAAACAAGATTTTTATTTATCCCAGGGACTTTTTTTAATATCAAGGAATTTTACTTTTGTGCACGAATATGGAATGATTTAAATTTTTTAGCTAAAGAGAAGTCACATGGTTTGAAATAAATCCAAATAATTTTTTAAACTCCTTTTCCTTTTTTGATTGATTTTGAAAATATAAATAAAAAAATCTTGCTAAATTGTGCAATATAATATTTTAATCCTTTTTTAGTTTTTCATGGAGAGGTTTAAATAGAAAATATGAATATATCACGCTTAAGAAGTGCATTACAAATATTAATTTCTAGTCTTTTTTTTAATTGCGAAGCTAAAAGCTTTTGGATGCATTAAGTTCTCTCTAATGAAATCAATTTTTACTTTATGCAAAGACTTTTCAAAAGCTTTTAACAGACTGCATCGAGAAACTAGAGTGAAAAATCTCTTTCCCCGAAGGCATTAATTAAAGAGCCAATGAATAAAATCCCTATTCAAGGAAAAGCTCCCGTCGTCTTCCTTCCTTTTCATCAGCAACGTACCTGCTGTGTTATTTTAATTGCTTCTAATTGCATTAGCACAGTGCACAATTATTCTGCATTCTTGGAACTTGTATAATAAAAAAGGAACAGATAATATCAATTTTCTCATAAGTATCTTAAATCTCTGGCTCATTTGCATAAATTTCATGTTTCACAAAGACATTTAATATTTTATGCTTCTTCGCAGGAAAGGGTGGAAATTGTATAATCAGAATTAAATTTTAAATGAGAGTTTCCTCGATTTTCAAGCGTATAATTAGCAGTGAAATATTTCAAGTGGCAATTAGCGCCCCCTCAATAAGCTTTTACTGCCGCAATAACAATGCAGGCTGTTTTGTCCTCGGGAAGGATTTTATTTTATTATTGGAGGCCACAGTGCGTTTTATTATTGAATTTGGATATGTATGGGCGCACTCGAGGCGGAGAAGCGAAAAACGGCTGCTTTAATGCAAACGCTGCGCTGCTCCGACCTTTCTCCTTCTTTTTCCTCCCGGAAGCCTCGGGAGAATTTCGTATCCTCAAGTTAAGAGGATTTATTCTGAACTCCTTTTGCGCGCCGAGGAATAAAATGAATTCCGACTTGCGAGGCAAATATCATGCCTGGTTGAACAGCATTATTTCTATTATTAATATTTTCTGCGGCCTTAGGCCCCACCAATTTTTCATGCCGGAGAGAAGATTTTAATTTTCCAGCAGAAAGCAACGGCTCTTAAGCTTGCTGCAATATTAATATGGGAGGGAATGGACTGCGGGCTTGCGTGTTTTTGGAGCTTTGTTTTCTCCTGGCCCGTTCGTGTTGAAATATTAATTACGGGTTGTAAACGTTTTGATTCAAATTTCTTTCTGGGAACTAATTAACCATTTCTTTCGTTGCTGTGCAATGGAAAAGTGGTTTTTGATACATCGTTATTTAGTGACCACTAGCAAAATAGTTTAAAAATAGGGGGATATAATAATTAAATCAGAAAATTTGGTTTATTATTGATATAAGAGATGAAAATTTAAGAAGTTAATACTTATTTTATAAGTAAAACAATAAAAAATACTCTAAAAGGTAAAAACATTAATTTCACTGTTAAACATGTCATTTTCTAAGCTTTAATACATAATATATGTCATTAATTTATTTGTTGCAAAACATTTCTTCAAAAAATTATATATATTGTCAATATTAAAAA